AACATAAGCAACCGTTTCATCAACAATTTTGGAAATGTTGATGCAATAATTTAATTAATTTGCTGTATAATCGGAAACATCACATTCCGTGTTATTTTTCAAAGCTTTTACAGTAAATGCATCATTTGAAACAAAGTACATGTCAAACAAATTACAATTTCATGTTATTATCTACGACATCATGTTTACTGGGCACAATTAATTTTGGTATGGGTTGCAGCCGAATACTAATTAGTGCCTAATTAGCCCGTTAAAGACTATTGAAATGCATTCTTTGTAACTGCGTTCATCACTGCCTACTTTTGTACCGCACATGTAGTCAAAAACCCACAATTGCATTTCATAATCTACGAGATAATGTTACTGGACACAAATTAATTTTTGTATGGGCTTCAGCCGAACACTAATTAGTGCCTAATTAGTCTGTTAAAGTGACCCCATGTTCACTATTGTAACCATGTACTATTGTAACCCAATAGGCAGTGATATACGCAGCAGAAATGAACACATTATTACAATAGTACAGTGAACATGGGGTCACTTTAACGGGCTAATTAGGCACTAATTGGTGTTCAGCTGAAGCTTATACCAAAATCAAGTGAGCCCAATAACATTATCTCGTAGATTATGAAATAAAATTATGAGTTTTTGACAACATGTGCGGTACACTTTGTTTAAATAGGCAGTGATATACGCAGTTAAAAAGAATGCATTTTAATAGTTGTAGCGGCAAGTTGTGAAATTTAATTTGGGTTTAATCATAGTTGTTATTTCAAAGTGTTTTCTAAACTTTAATTCATGATCACGCATACCTTTGATTGGAAATAAGTTTGTTGCGGTAAAACTGTTCATTAATCGTTCCCTTACTTTTGTAATAGCGCCCTCTTGTGATATGGTGCATTTTGTAAGGTCAACGTTTAAACACCTCATGATTCCGATGATTCGTAAATAATGGACATGTATCAAATTCATCTCCCTAAATAAATGTAACATTATCAGGTTTTCTAAGTCCCAAATGTTGTAGTTTCGGATCCAACACAATCGGTAAGCCTTGTTGATTTATTCATGCTTATAATTTATCGTATTCTGAGTGATTTATTAAGATTATTTGCAGGTTTTCAAAGTGAAGATTTATATGTTTTAGGTGTGTTTACTTAACACGTACAGGGATAATGTACGCACTATATGTCAAGTGAAGGCTCAAGCTCCATCGCATATATTTGACCAGTTATCCTAATTGTTTATTATGTTTTCTGTAATTGTTAATACTAAAGTTAAGTATTGTAATTTGTGTAATTACAGTGAACCACCACCACCATAAGCACCAAATACAGCAATGAAGTACTGCCTCAGGGTGTGTTCAGAAAGAGACCGAATACTAAAACACTTGTGTAGCAAATGTTGTTTGCAAGGCTACAATAGTGAAGTAAAAAAGGGTCACTTGAACGGGCTTATCAGTCACTAATTGAAAAATAATTGAAAAGAATTAGGCACAAATTACTGTTGGGCTGAAGCCTATACCAAAAGTAAGTGAGCTCAGTAACATTTTCCCGAAGATTTTGAAATGAAATTGTGATTTTTGACATGTGTGGTACACTTTGTTTCGAATGATGCATTTACTTTGCAACATCTACTTAAAAGCGTTGAAAAATAACACGAAATGTGATGATTTCCATTTGCAGCTTATTTAATAGTAATTATTGCATCAAAATTGTGACCTGCCATAGCATAATGAGGAATAACCCCACACTTGACTTTTCACTTTATATACATCATGTTAACGCGCAAATCATAGGCTTTCCAATGATACCAAATTTATTTATGTCACTCTGAATGTATTCCAAAGATATGACGCAGGAACGTCAACAGTGTCATGTCAAGTTTCGCAAACCTTATTTCGAGAAAAACGGCTTTAAAAAAAAGGCACGCATTGCGCCGCCAACGGCAGTGGAAAACGTTTTTCAGTTTTTCCACTTTTTTGGGAATTTTTTCCGAACAAAATTGCTTGGTGTGAATCTTGGATACCTTGGCTAATCAAATATACAAAACAATCATTGTCGACTTTGACATGATTTTTCTAGTCTATCCGACTTCATGCGTCATTTACTCAAAACAAGGTTTGGGGGACATTCCTCATTTTGCTTCAGTAGGTTGATGCAGCTGTTGGTTATGTTGTGCATTTTGATATGGCGTGAAAACATTGTTATTTGTCGTTTGTTATGCAAAATTCATTGAATCAATGAAGTTATCTTTCTGGAAAATAGATCACCTTTTTGCCGCATGTATTTTTGTGACTTAACGTGAATGCGCAGCTGAATCTATGGGTAGCTGAATAGGCGACCAAAAATCCGGCCGAATCAGTTTCAAGCTCACACATCCACACACCCCCACACTCACATAGGCATAGAAGTTGGGTACTTCCTTTGTTCTCGTGTAGTAAAATTTTGCAACGTCGCACACTTAATATGTCAAAATGCCCTTATTTTAACCATAGTTAATTTCCTGGGCTGAAATTCGGACTTAATATCCCTTTTCTAAAACTCTTCTATTTGCGACAAATCAACCCACCTTGGAAATTCCTAGTTTTTGAGTAAAATCCATATATCTTTTTCGTGAAAAAAACTTGTGGGGTACCAAAACGGGGTGGGGGGCTGCCCGATAGTCCGAAGGTCCGATAGTCTGAAGGTTCTTTAGTCCGAAGGTTCGATAGTCTGAATGCACAAAATTTCCATAAGAGGGGGTTCGTTAATCCGAAAATGAAATAAGGTTCGTTAATACGAACATTTGATGCAATAGTCCGAAGGTTCATTAATCCGAAGGTTCATTTATCCGAAGGTTCGATAGTCCGAATTTAGAATAAGGTTAATCAGTCCGAAGGTTCAATAGTCCGAAAAGAAAATAAGGTTCATAAGTCCGAAGGTTCATTATTCCGAATTGACAATAAGGTTCGATAGTCCGAAAAGACTATAAGGTCCGATAGTCCGAATCGACAATAAGGTCCGATAGTCCGAATCGACAATAAGGTCCGATAGTCCGAAATGTCATACTGACGAACCGTATTGCCCATTCGGACTATCGAACCTTATTCTCAATTTGGACTACCGAACCCTATCGTCTATTCGGACTATCAAACCTTTGGATTAATTAACCTTATTCTATTTTCGGACTAATGGGCCCTTCGGACTATCGAACCTTCGGATTATCGAACCTTCGGACTATTGAACCTTCGGACTAACGAAACTTCGGACTAATGATCCTCCGGACTAAAGAACCTTTCGTACTATCGGGCTGTAACCCCATTCCTTGTGGGGTACCTCCCATTGTTCCGGTACCCCACAAGGCAGAGTTTGTACACGCACACACGCATCCTTGTGGAGACATGTCTTTGTTCTCGTGTAGTAAAGTTTTCGAGTTTGAAAGTGAAGTACCAAAATGCTCTTAGTTTAATCAGAATTAATTTCCTTGGCTAAAATTTTGACTTAATATCCCTTTTCTAAAACTCTTCCATTTGCGACGGATCAACCCACCGTGGAAATTCCTAGTTTTTGAATAAAATCCACATATCCATTTCTTCGAAATCTTGTGGAGACGTATTCATCTATAGAAATTGCCCTGCGGAGACGTATACAATCTTTTGTTCCCTATTGTGTGCACGTCTCCAGAGGGCACGGTATATCAGATCACACGGATGGACAAGGCGGAAACAGTATGCCCCCTCCGGCTTCGCCGGCGGGGCATAAAAAATGATCATAGGTTGGAATTTAAAAGGACTCAGGAGGATTCCTTACAAAACAAATGGCAACATATCAAGTGTTCTAACACTTTAGTTTTGCATTATAGCATTGCGTTGGTATTGAATTGAGTCTAATGATTTTCGTTTCGGTCTTTTTGTGTTCGCAAAAAGTGCTGGGTTTGCATGTACTGAAATGCGTGTAGTTCCATTCTAACCCCCAAAATACACACACCCTGACGTTAGCCTTCGTTGCAATCGTTATGGTTCTATATTCATACCCTGAACCCTCGGGCATTAACGCACGGGCAATGTCTGTGACGATAAGCTATTGAACGAAATACGTGGGAGTTTGTTAGACGTCTGCGTTTGAAAAGAAGAAAGGAAAATATAATCGAATTGAGGTCGCCTAAAGCCCGGTTCATACTTCACGCGAAAGCGAAAGCGAAGCGAAATTCGTGACGTCAACAATACCTTCGAAGCGCGTCCACCATTGTTAACGACATGAATTTCGCTTCGCACAAGCTTTCGCTTCGCTAGGCTGTGGAAAGAATTGTTGGTCTAGTTTTTGACGCGCCAGCAATGCCTATTCTCTTTACATTGTTGTGTTAGCTCTACGATCAAAGGAAAGAATTCTGCAAATCTGAAAGTATAAATAACACTCCAAGGTGTTGCGTGTAGTCTATCGACTGACGAGTGTTTCCACACTTATATAATACGCTAGTCAGCGTTGCATGAGGAATTATTTTCCTTGTGATAGATTTTCCATTTTCCCCACATCACGGCATCAAAACGCGCATGCGTGATTGCATGAATTCAGCCTCGTTACAGGCATCAGATTGAGCACAACACGGCACTGCCTCGCGTTAATTTATTTGTATGTTTTTAATAAAGGGGGTATTTTTTGTAACATGTCACATTTAAAGGCATATAGCATCATTTGCTCTACATGCATTTTGTTTGTGTCCAATAATAGCACCACTCAAAATCCAGAGAAAACTGTTGAAAAAGTAACCTATTGAAGTTTCAGCTCAGTGATTTATAGTACAATAATTTCTGGGAGAAAAAAGCAAGCACAACCTTTAATCATGGAACACGATTTCGTCCCAGCAAACTGTATGCGCAAAAATCAGTCAGGCACTTGTTGAGGTATCCAAAAGTGACCCTGGGAGTTTCAAAGAGTGTGCCCCAAAATGAATATGGGCCCCCATAAATAAAAAGCAGAACTGAAAAGAGCGCCCTCTCCTTTTTTGCACAAAGATTGTACGTATGGTGGCGATATTACAGAACTAATGCTGATTCCGTTCACTTGATCGGGCGGATCCAAACTTCCACATCAGTGTTCTTTCTACGCAGTTCCGCTTGAACTATCGTCTTGTGTAACTGCGTCCAGGCAGAATTGTTCAGATTATCATATCGGTAAGTTTCTTAATTTTTCCACCCATTTTGTTGTCGTTGTTTATGCCAATATTTCTGTCGTGGGAATTGTCAATGTCGTGGGAATTGTCAATGTAGTGACATTTGTCCAATGCATGTCCGGGTTTGTATTCGGTGTTGAACTTGAACGTGTGTGAATTTGTACATTGTAGGGGAGGAATGCAGTATCGCTATAGCCAATGCATCCTTGTTTTTACAGGCACGTCACCTCAAATTTGGTTAACCGACCAAGAGGGGTGCGCATTCACGGGTAGAACTGGTTCCCCTTGAAGTAAAAAGTGTGTCATGCGCAGTATTGAGATTTCAAAATGTTCGGACTTGAGTGCGCGTGTCAAAGTTGACCTCTATTAGCGGAAAAGTCAACACTAATATGCAAACAATAATGAACGTAGATGTAAACATGCTATTGAAACTTATAGCATAAATCCAGTGTTATTAAACTCTATAAAATCAGTTAGGCTAGAAGGTGCATGATAGTTTTATACAAGTTAATCTGTGTGGAAAAGAAAGCAATTGTTGAAATCTTCAATTTCCTTCCACATAGGACCCCATACAGATATATTGTGCACTGTGTAGTCATAAAAGGCTTATCAATCCATGATATATTCCCAAATACTGATCTACCAAATGTATCGATGCTCATAAAGGAGATTCTCATACGTGAAGAGGGCGAGTCAAAAAGTGACCGGAATTAACGATTTTGTTTATTAAAAACCAAACAAATTAGAAACACCAAAGAATTATATCTTAAAGAGCATGTTCTTTCACTCATATCAAATTTATCGATGCTCATAAAGGAGATTCTCATACGTGAAGAGGGCGAGTCAAAAAAGTGACCGGAATTAACGATGTTGTTTATTAAAAACCAAACAAATTAGAAACACCAAAGAATTATATCTTAAATAGCATGTTCTTCCACTCATACCTATTTTTTTTTTAATTGATCCATGCTATCTGAAGTTATGCATGTTAAGAACCCATTTTTATAGCTGTCAATGGAATGCCATTATGCTGAGTGAGAACAGATTACACACAAATTACAATACAAATGAGATTTTCATCATTTCAAGACTGAAACATTGTTTTTACTGTCAGATTGTGTGTTTTTAATACTAGTGGGGAAAATGTCATCTTTCCCCCCCCCCCCCCGAAATGTTAATGTCGATTTTGGCATGTTCTCCTTTGTAAGTTCTCCTCCATTCATTGATTGTATTTAATGGGTATTCATCAGTTCGTAGAACAGTGAATGATCAGTGGTGGACAGCTGAGTTTTGTGATCTTCATTTAAAAAAAAAAAGACGTAACTTGGGAATAAAGTATGCAAATTGAATGAAATTTTCACAGTTACTAGTCAATAACATGTACGTTATGGCTTTGTTTTTTGTTATACAATGGAGCGAGCCACATATTTTTTTGATATTGTTTTTCTAATTTGGTCACTTTCGTTTTGACTCACCCTGTATTGTTAGTCCCAACCAGAATAACAAGTGTGTTTCAAATTTATATCAGGAAACTCTGAAATGAAACTGAAACTCTTTGTTGCAAAGTTCAATTGATAGTAAAGTTACTATCGCTTTCTGTATCAGAAAATGCGTTTCCTGTTACTGCCCCCCCCCCCGAAAAAAGATTCCCAAGATGTGAAATGACGTTTGTGTAAAGTAACGTTTGGTTGAACCATAGAGCAAAGACACATGATTGAAGCGCTCATCGACTGCAATTTTGCACATCCGTTTCATCTCAATGCCATTAGGAATAATCATTTATGAAGGCATTTATTCAACGTTGCATCGCCATGCTCAAATTACATCTCATGCTAAACTTACATCTTCGACGGACAAGCTGTACAAAAGGCTTCTTCAATTTTTCAAATTCTCATTTCCAGCCCAATCTACTGATACCATGGCAACCCACGTTTCAGATGTCGGTCTGGCTCAAAATGCTGCCAAGGTTACTAACACCTTTGCATCTAATCTCTTCCGAGTGTTGACTGAGGGAGAAAGCTCCAACAACAACATCTTCTTTTCTCCTATGAGCATCTCCACTGCACTTGCTATGACCTTCATGGGGGCACGTGGTGAGACAGCAAGCCAGATGAGTCAAGTACTTCACTTCAACATCTTAGAAGAATCTGTCCTCCATCAGTCATTTGCTGACCTGAGAGCTCTGGTTTTCAGTCCTGAAGCACCCGCTGGTAAGACAGCAAGCCAGATGAGTCAAGTTCCTCCCTCCAACAGCGCAGAAGAATCTGTTCATCAGTCATTTGCTCGCCATAGGGCGCGTCCTGCAATTCCTTGCACTCTGGTAGCTGCCAACAGATTGTTTGCTCCTAAGGGATTGGATGTCCTTGCGACATTTGTTGACGACAGCATGAAGTACTACGGAGCCAGTATGGAAATTCTTGATTTCATTGGTGATGGGGAAGGTTCTCGTCAACACATCAACTCCTGGGTGGAGAAGCAAACTGCAAACCGCATCAAAGACTTACTTGCTGCAGGATCAATCGATGATATGACTCGCTTGGTGCTGGTCAATGCCATCTACTTCAAAGGAGATTGGGCTGCCAAGTTTGATTATCAGCACACAAATTTCAATGGGAAGTTCCGTTCTTTGGGTGGGTCCGAGAAGATTACCATGATGCACAAGACAGGCAAGTTTCACTATGCTCGTGACGATTCCGTGAGCAGTTCTATCCTGGAGCTACCTTACCTCAAGAATGAAGTGAGCATGTTCATCGTGTTACCTGATCAAGTGGATGGGCTGGCTGATGTGCAGAAGAAGTTGAGTCAAGATAAAATTGACTCCTGGGTGACAGATGCTCGTATGCGTGACAGTCCTACTGTCATCGTGTCTCTTCCAAGGTTTGACCTGGAGCAGGACTTTGTCTTGAATGATGTCTTGAGGAAGATGGGTATGAATGATCCATTTCATGTTGGCAAGGCTGACTTCTCAGGGATGACAGGAGACAAAGATGTCTTCATATCCACAGCGATTCACAAGGCTTTCTTAAAGGTGAATGAAGAAGGCAGTGAGGCAGCAGCAGCTACATCTTGGCCTATGTGCTTTGGTATCGATTTCCCACCAAAAGGTGCTGTAGAATTCAATGCAGATCACCCTTTCTTGCTGTTCATTTATGACAATAAATCCAGAGCTGTTCTGTTTATGGGACAGCTGTGCCAACCAAAACAGTAAACTTTGGTGTGGCAAAGTATGGATAATTGTCAATGACTGTAGAGCAGGTGTATTGAAGCACTTAAGCTAAACAACACTGGATGTGTTATATACACAATGCATATGTGATCTTTTGATTAAAACAATATTCTCTTCAGGACTTGTTGGCTAAAAAAGTATAACGTACAATGTTGGAATAAGCTCCTGTTCTTGAACTGTGATAGATGGTATAATATTATATAGCATTTTGTTCTCTCTTTTTTTCTTTAGAGAAGTTCTAGTTTGTTTATTCGTCAACATGAATTTATAAAGACATTTTGTTTGTTGCTAGGGAATGGACAGCGAATCAAAGAGTGTACATTGAAGCTTTTGATGAACAAAAACAATTGTAACATTATTCACAGATTCTTCATGTATTATATAAATAAACTGATGTGAATAATCAGGAATTTTTTTAATTGAAACTGGCAGATTTAGGTAATTGCAACAGACTTATATTCAGCGTGGCACACTTTGGAGATGTAAAATGAAGTTATAATATGAACACAGAAAGTTGGATGAATTAAGGAATACTTTCAAATGAAAATCAAAAACGGAAACCCTTGAACATTGGCCACAAAGCACATTGGTTTCATCAAACATTGAAAAAGGCTAAGGATGAATGTGTGTTCGCTGCACAGGGCAAAACTGACAACCTGTGTTAACATAAATCCACAAAAAAACTAGATATCAGAATCATCATGGGACTGAGGCAAACCTTCTACCGAAGAAATTCATACTGCGTTCAAGCACCAATAAAGTACATTGTTACATTTTCATTGTGTGCGTTAAGTCACATGAAAATCAATCAGGAAAAATCATAATATAATGCCTGAAGTATAAGTGAAATATGGGGAGAATCCTTAACGTTGAATCGTGAATATACGCCCTTGTAACTTTATATGCTGAAAAAAATAATGACGTAGAAATGTTCGTACACTATCAATTAACAGTAAACCTGGCAGTTTACTATTAGTGCATTGTTGTAATCACAGAGGTACGTATGTTCATGTAATAACAGACGTGATAAAAGACTGTGCGTGTTGTTAGACGGGTTTAATTTCTGGTGATTATGTTTTGCCTTATCTGTGAAATCATCTAAATCATTTTGTAAACATGGTCATTCCAATGATTCGTCTATTTTCGTCATAGGTAAGATCATTGACATATTTCCAGTATTCGGAATTAGCACTCAGAGCTGCATCATTTATAATAATTAGAAAACCTGCAGGTGCTTATTTTTTTGCACAATGGACGCCTCCATTGAGAATAACATACTCGGAAGTATTATTATTAAACCTGATACATTTTAGATTAATAGCGTGTAACTTTAATCAGAAGTTTTAACAATTAAGTGTTGCAATACAGCAGTTCGTTAGTATTAAACTGAAGCTTATGATTTTTTTCTTCGGTCTTTTTGTGTTCGCAAAAAGTACTGGGCCTGCATATACTGAATCCTGTAGTTCAATTCCAAGCCCAAAATACATACACCCTGCTGTTATAGCCTTTGTTGCAATCGTTACGGTTCTATACTCGTGCCCTGTACCCTAGCTTGGGCATTGACACAATGTCGGTGACGACAAGCTATTGAACAAATACGTGGGAGTTCGACGTCTGGATTTCAAAAAGGAAGGAAAATATAATGGAATTGAGGTCATCTAAGGCTATGAAAAGAATTGTTGGTCTAGTTTTTGACGAGCCAGCAATGCCTCTTTTCTTTACATTGTTTGTTGTGTTAGCTCTACGAGCAAAGGAAAGAATTCCGCAAATCGGAAAGTATAAATAACACTCCAAGGTGTTTCGTTTAGTCTATTGTCTGACGAGTGTTTCCCACAGTATATACACTTATAATCTACATAATAATGTCTTTGTGGAGTTTCCTGCTTTTGTGACAAGTGGGAACGACCGTTTTTATTGCGGGCATGACCAGTCCTCCCTTTTTGTAAATGGCTTCCACACCCCTAAAAGGGTAAATTTGGCTTCACGTCTAAAACAGTTTCTCGCATAAACATCTGTGCCAAGTTTCACGCTTTTATGAAAAAAAATTCTCAATATTTTGTCACATATCTGCTGGACTGTATTAGCCAGTGTTGCATGAGGTGTTTTTTTTCTCGTGATAGATTTTCCATTTTGCCACACTCACGGCCTCAAAACGCGCATGCGTGATTGCATGAAAACAGCCTCGTCACGGGCATCATATTGAACACAACACGGCACTGTCTCGCGTTCATTGATATCCTTTTTTTAATTAATGGGGATATATTTTGTAGCATGTCATATTTAAAGGCATATAAGTTCATTTGCTCTCCATGCAGTTTGTTTGTGTCCAATAATAGCACCACTCAAAATCCAAAGAAAATTTGGCAATGCTAACCTATTGGAGTTTCAGCCCAGTGGAGGATAGCACAATTTTTGAGAAAACAGTGAAAAGCAAGCACAGTCATGAAACACGATTTCGTCCACAGCACTCTCTGTATTCGCAAAAATCAGTCTGCCACTTGTTGCGGTATCAAAACGTGATCCTGAGAGGTTCAAAGAGTGTTCCCCAAAATGCAGATAGGCCCCTTCAATAATTAAGCCCACTGACTATCTTTTAAGCATTGTTTTCCACAAGTTATGTAGGCTTTCGTTCACGCAAGATGATTTCAACTCTTTAACTTTCTTTTTTTCATTTGATTTTTTTTAAGCATTCAGCATACGAACTTTACGACTCCACCCACGCGTGCCGCGGCATCCTGCTGATAGTAAATAAGGAATAAAAAGACTATTGGTAGCGCGTGCATAATGTCCGTGGACTGAACATAGAAATATAACAACTGTATATAAGCCTAGACACCTAATTATCGGGACTGAATAGTTAAAGCAGACCTGAAAATAGCGCCCTCTTTTTTTGCACTAAGAATGAGCGTATGGTGGCGATATCACAGAACTAATGCTGATTCCGTTTACTTGGCGATATTACAGAACTAATGCCGATTCCGTTTACTTGATCGGGCGGATCCAAACTTCCGGCTTTGTCAGTGTTCTTTATGCGCAGTTCCGCTTCAACTATCGTCTTGTGTGACTGCGCCCAGGCAGAACTTTTCAAATTATCATATCGGTAAGTTTCTTATTCCCCCCCCCCCGTGTTGTCGTTGTTTATGCGGATATTTATGTCTTGTGAATTGTCAGTGTTGTGATTTTGTTTCAATGGATTTCCAGGTTGTTATTCGGTGTTGAACTTGAACGTGTATGAATTTGTACATTTTAGGGCGGAGGAATGCAGTATCACTATAGCCAATGCAACCGTGTTTTTACAGCCACGTCGCCTCGTATTTGGTTAACCAACCAATAGGTGTGTGCATTCACGGGTAGAACTGGTACCCTGTGAAGTAAAACATGGGTACACGGGTATCCTAAAAGAAACCCAACCCTCAAAATTCAAATCCCAGGAGTTGTTGTTCAAATTAATTTATATTTTATTTTAACAGTCAAAGTTAATCTATGTGGAGTAGAAAGCAGTGTTGAAATCTTGAATCTTCTTCCTTAGGACCCCATACAAATACTGTCTAGTCATAAAAAGCTTATCAATCCATGCTGTATTCCCAAGTACTGATCTACCAAATTTATCGAGGCTCATAAAGGAGACTCTCATACATGAAGAGGGTGAGTCGAAAAAAGTGACTTTCGTTTCTTAAAAAGCAATTAGATTTGAAACACCAATGAAGTATATCTTAAAGAGCATGTTCTTCCACTCATCTTAAAAAAACAATTATACTGAAATTGATCGATGCTATCGGACGTTATGCATGTTTTACTAAAACAACCCATTTTTATAGCTGTCCATGGAATGCAATTTAGCTAAGTGAGAATTACAGATTACACACAAGCATTCCGATACAAATGAGATTTTAATCACTTCAATCAAGACTGAAACATTATTTCTACTGGCAGATTTTGTATTTTGAATATGAGGAATACGTTTGTTTCCGAACTGATAATTGCGATTTTGGTATTTTTTCCTTTGTAAGATCTCCTCCATTCATTCATTGTTCGTAGAACTGTAAATAATTTATCAGTGGTGCATGGACAGCTGAGTTTTGTGAATTTTTGTTATTGAAATAGACGTTACTTGGGAATAGAGTACACACATTTCGTGGAATTTTCACAGTTAGTAGTCAATAACATGTACTTTATAGTTGTTTTGTTATGAAACGGAGCGAGCCACATATTGATTTTATATTTTGTTCCAAGTTGGTCACTTTCGTTTTGACTCACCCGATATTGCTGGTCCCAACCAGGATGACGTGTGTTCCAAATTTATAACAGGAAACTTTGAAATAAAACTGGAACTCTTTGTTGTTGCCAAAACAAGTTCACTTCATATAAACGTTACTATGGCTTTCCGTCTCAGAAAATTTGTTTCCAGTCACTGCCCCCCCCCCGAAAAGGATTCCCAAGATGTGAAATGATGCTTGTATAGAATTACGTTTGGTTGAACCATAGAGCAAAGACCACATGATTGAAGCGCTTTTCTGCAGTTGTGCAGTTGTGCTAATCATTTATGGATACATGTATTCATTGTTGCATCGTCTGTTCGTCATGTCCCATTTACATTATAATGCTAAACTCAAATCATCGACGGACAAGCTGTATAAAAGTCGTCTTCAATTTCTCCAATCTTTCCAGCCCAATCTACTGATACCATGGCAACCCACGTTTCAGATGTCGGTCTGGCTCAAAATGCTGCCAAGGTTACTAACACCTTTGCATCTAATCTCTTCCGAGTGTTGACTGAGGGAGGAAGCTCCAACTACAACATCTTCTTTTCTCCTATGAGCATCTCCACTGCACTTGCTATGACCTTCATGGGGGCACGTGGTGAGACAGCAAGCCAGATGAGTCAAGTACTTCACTTCAACATCTTAGAAGAATCTGTTCTCCATCAGTCATTTGCTGACCTGAGTGCCCAGAGTTACTATGCTGATGCTCCTTTCACTCTGATAGCTACCAACAGATTGTTTGGTCAAAAAGGTTTGGATGTCCTTGCGACATTTGTTGATGACAGCAAGAAACACTACGGAGCCAGTATGGAGACACTTGATTTCATTGGTGATGGGGCAGGTTCTCGTCAACACATCAACTCCTGGGTGGAGAAGCAAACTGCAAACCGCATCAAAGACTTAATTGCTGCGGGGTCTATCGACGATTTGACTTGCTTGGTGCTGGTCAATGCCATCTACTTCAAAGGAGCCTGGGGTACCAAGTTTAAGGTCTCCAATACTTTTTCTGAGAAGTTTCACATTTCGGTAACCGAGGATATCAACGTTCCCATGATGCACCAGACAGACAAGTTCAACTTTGCTCGTGACGATTCCGTGAGCAGTTCTATCCTGGAGCTACCTTACTTCACGGACTGTCTACCCAACTTCAAGGACCGTGTACCTAAAATATGGAAGCAAGTGAGCATGTTCATTGTGTTACCTGATCAAGTGGATGGGCTGGCTGATGTGCAGAAGAAGTTGAGTCAAGAGAAGATTGACTCCTGGGTGACAGAAGCTCATATGCGTGAACGTTCTACTGTCATCGTTTCTCTGCCAAAGTTTACCCTGGAGCAGGACTTTGTCTTGAATGATGTCTTGAGGAAGATGGGTATGAATGATCCATTTGATGCTGACAAGGCCGACTTCTCAGGGATGACAGGAGACAAAGATGTCTTCATATCCAAAGTGATCCACAAGGCTTTCTTAGATGTGAATGAAGAAGGAAGTGAGGCAGCAGCAATAACTACATTTAAAATGAACTGGTATTGCCTAGATCGTCCATCGAAGAATCCTCCAGAATTCAAGGCAGATCACCCTTTCTTGGTGTTCATTTATGATATTA